GTGTATTTATCACACGGACATTCTATAATCTTTTTACCCAATTCTGACAGACATTTACAATTTCTCACATCTTGCAATTATAGAGAATGCTGCAGTGAACTTATGCATTTCTGCAGGTGAAATTCCTACAGGGAAAACCGCTCCAAGAGTATGCAGACTAAACCTTGATTCAGTGTTTCTAAGCCGCCCCCAAACCTGCACGGGTCAGTTCTACAGAGAACACGGCAGCTCTTCTCACGCGCCCCCGATGACACCTGCTGAGCTACGAAGGACAGTTTTAATGTGCCCGTCTCTGAAGAGCAGTAACATTGTGGGCATCGTGTTTCATACTTAGGACATCTATGATCCTTTTCCTGTGAAGCAGTTATTCACATTCTTTGTCTACTTTTCTATTTTTTATATTTTGAAATAATTTCACAAATGCATACATTTCATTTGTTTTCCAAACCATTTTCAAGGAAGCTGCAGACACCATGAAACGATCCCACCCATCATCCAGGAGCTCCTTCCCAGGGGACCCGAGATAAACCATGGCTTTATTCTTTAAACATATTCTGCTTTCTGCCAACACATCTATAAAATGCGGAACCATCTCCACAGCTCTGAAATAAGCCCTATTTATTCACGGTGTATTGTGCCTCTGACACGATGCTAACTGTATTTTGTTAATGACTTTGGTTTGTATCTTTATTCAGAACTAAGCCTGGTCTGGGCGATGTGCGTGCCAGGCCCGCATCAGGCCTGCACCAGGATGCACTAGGAGTGCAGCCTCTTCCCTTGACACCTGAGACTCCACTGTAGCCACCAGATTTACCGGGAGCCCCTAGTCAGCTGTAACGCAGAACCACAGTCACAGAAGGCCACGAGCCTGAGCGTGGCCAGGGTACAGGCGCCCCACCTCCAGGTCCAGAAAGACCTCCTCCAGCAGGCTGCGGCAGCCCTCGTCTGCGATGGTGTCCAGCACCCCGTCCATACTGGGCTGGCTCAGGGACACCTCCTCCTCCCCGCTGCTCTTCAAGTACTTCCTTTTCAAACTGACGACAGACTCCCTGTGGGAACAGAGTGGCTCAGGAGGCTGAGGGTGCCCGCAGCCCGCCCCCCCAACCCCTTCACCCCTCCCTTACCGCCCCCCCTGTTGCTCCCTGCGCCCCCGCAGCGCTTACCTGAAGGTCTGGCAGTTGTTGATGATGGCGACCATGTACTGCACATAGCAAGGCGGGTGCTGCCGGTCCCGCAGGTGCTCCTCCTTGTACAGCTGGGTTTCCTCTCTGTACCTGGGGACACAGCCATCAAACGCTCAGGAGGCCAGGGCTGCAAATGGCATGACACCCTGGCGCCCCGCAGGTGCGTTCTACACCAGACACCTGACCAGGTGACTCTTTAAGAGTAGGAGAGGGCCGGCCGAGTGGCGTGATGGTTAAGAACTGGCTTGGGATGCCAGAGGGCCCCGGTTCGGATCCCACATATGAGGGCCAGTGACACTGCCCTCCACAGCTAAGATGCTGAACAACAGCTCAACCTGGAGCTGGGCTGCCGTGAGTCACCGGCGACGGCGTAGGCTGCAGCCCCTGTGGCAGTGGGTTGCCATGGGCTGCAGTGGGTTGCCATGGGCTACCGTGTGTAGCCAGCAGCCGCAGTGAGCGGCCAGCAGCCGCAGTGAGCGGCCATCCAGAAGCCCCGGCGACTGATCTGCCTCTCCTGGGAAGAGCGCAATGATGGTGCCAACTTGGGCCAGTGAAGCAGTATCCTCCACCACTAGACTGAGGACCAAAAGAAACGACAGCAACTTATCTGTTCCCCTTCCCCAATTCCCCAGCGCTGTTCCCATCTGCCCAATTCCCTAATAAAAATCTTTAAAAAAAAAAAAAAAAAAAGAGTAGGAGAATTTCCGGATGCTCTACACTAACGGAAAACCAGAGAAGCTGCTCATTTAAAATGAATCAGTAAAAGCTGCTTTCACACCAGGCTGTGAAATGCGCCTGGTCCTCTGCTTCTGCAGCGCCTCTGAAATGTGAGCTTGTGACCAGCTCGGGAAGCAGGACCTCATTTTATCAGACACAACATGCCAGAAACTCGTCCAACAGTACTGGGAACACTGTCAAACGCTGGCTGAAATGTCCCTTCCTGAAGCTCTCCCTGAAGGAACCAAATGAGAAATAAATCAGTCTTCAGATGTCATGAAAACCAATGGCTGACATGGCCATGCCATATCTCGGAAGCTACAGGCACGCTCCAGCACGGCCGGGAGGACAGCACGGTGCGGCAGGCCTGACGGCACACTGACACCGGCGACCTACGGGGAGTCTCAGCACTGGCCTCCTGCCCTGACGCTGCACAGTCACAGGCCGGGACAAGGGGAAACACCCACTCCTTCCGGCACAGGGCTACCTCGTCCTCTAACGGGATGACCGCCTCGGGCCACGAGCCCTACGGAGGCTGGTAGGGGCCCTAAGTGAGGGCTCACTGTTGGCTCCAGGCCACCAGAGCAGTGCAGACGGACACGCATGGTCCTGTGGTGTCACGTGGGGGTTCCTGCAAAGCAGCAGTGAAGGAGAGGGCATCGCACCAGCCTTCGGTGCTTTGTGGGGCAACGACACCAAACCAGCAGGGGGAGGCCCGTCACTACAGGATAACCAGTGCGTCCCCACCAGCCAACAGTGTGACGAGGTGGAGGGGCTGCTGTCCTGCTCCAGAGGCCTGAGAACCCAAAGGACCACACGCCATGAAGGGATGTGCCTGTGATCTGCTGTCACAGTCCCGTGGAGTGACTGCATGCTGTGTGTGGGATGACGGCGCTGTAGTCAGGGTGGACAGTGCTGGGGAAATGCCACCATGGCCCAATGTCTGGGATTTCCTTTAGTTACATCAGCGGGGGAGGGGGAACCAGGTGAGGCAAAGGGTGACTTTAAAGGGGCAGCTTTTGAACCTGTTTTCTCTGTCATTCTTTCTACTTCTGCATAGGTTTGGAAATCTTCACAAGCAATTAATTCAAAGGGAGGGTGACGTCCTGGAGACAAAGTCCCCCAAGTCTCCGGTCCAGGGCTGGCTCTGCTGGAGGGCCCTCCCCATGTGGGCCTGGAGCTGTCCTCCCCTCCCCCACCACAGCCGGGAAATTCAGGCAACAGGAAGGATAAGTGTCTAAGGAGACCCTAACTCCTGATGACACTGTGGGCTCTCAGGGGTCTGCTGTAATCCGTTCAAAAGAACAGAACAAGAAAGGCTGCACTAAGTAACAGAAGAGTGTGAGTATGGCCAACCCAGGCTTAAGTTCTGTTCTAACGTCAGGCATATTAGGATCAACACATTTTTGCTTTTAATTTTTAAAAACATGCGCTTTCAGAATAAGCACACTGGCAAAAATACATACCTACTTAAGAAAGAGCTCATTTGCTGAAGACACAGAACTAGTACCTTTGTTTTCAGATCTTCACTTATCTGAGCAGCAACTTGGAGATTCTGCTCGAACATCTAAAAGTTGAAGAACTTATGAGTTAGACTCAGAAGAGCCCAGGTTTCCCGTGATATAACCCCCTCCCCCCCATCTGCAATTAGTTGTTAGGACAGTCCAAATTCAGAGAAAAAAATGAAACCACTTGAAAAACAACAAAGTTATTTAAACGAACAACTTTCTCACCAGGTAGAAAACCAAGTGAATCATTTCCTAATCACCCGCCAATCGGGGGTTTCCATGTAGGGGGAACCTGACGGAGAGATGGGGCCCACGGAGGTGCCAGGGGCGCTGTGAGCTGTGACGTGGATTTCTTAAGAAGACTTAGGAGGACACACTGCAGCTGAGGGAAGGGCCAGCAGGCAGCGCTCACTCCAGGTCCTTGTCAGAGGAGCTGTCATGACGCACGTCAGAGTTTCCAGAATGAAAGAAAGGGTGAGGACCTGTGCTAACTAATAGTGTCACCCAGAGAGAAACACCGCCAGCACTTGGCTCTGCCCGCTGGAGCCCCAGCCCTGTCAGCCAAGTGCCACAAGAATATTCCAACACAACTCAGGCCTCCGACTGTCAGGAACACACTCAAGGGAAGAAAACCCCACAGGCAGGAGAACAGGAGGACATGGGGACACCAGCAGGCGGGGCGGCATTAAAAAGTAAATTATCCATAAGAAGGCATGATTACCGCTCAAGTCTAAAGGACTCTTTCCCAAATCCGTCAGGTTAGACCCTATTTTGTGGCATTTATGAAGACTTATCTTGGCCATTTCAATATCAGGAAACTCCAAACAAGCAAAGAGAAATCTGAGCGTCACACACCAATAACACAGAATTACGTTCTACTTCAAGTCCAAAAAAAATCAGGAAAACTTAAGGTGACCCTGGGCAAAAGTATGTGGCAGGTATGACCCTCAGTTCCTTCAGCGGCAGACACAGCAGGGTCTGAGGCACTGGGCAGGCTTCGCTGCGAAACGAGGCACCTCGTCCATCTGTAGACCCGAGACCCACTAACCTCCCGCACTGAGCCCCAGAACCGCACAGGGTACCTGGAAGACGATGGCCGGGAGTGTTGTCTGGTAGTACCCATCTTGGTCGGCTTCGGGCTCGGTCTCTTTTACCCAGTCTTTTTTATCTGTTTCTAGAGCTTTCCGCAGCCAGGCAATGATGTTTGACTACAGAAGCACCACAGGGAGGAAGGAAAGAACAGGCCCCTGAGCCAAGCGCACAGAGTGCAGCTGCAGAACCAAACACAGCGCCCTGGGAATCCCTGCTCCAAACAAGAGGCCACCAGAGAGGCCATCCCCAGAGCCAGCTTGCAGCGGGCGGTGCCTGCTCCAGCCTCCGCCAAGCCAACCCTGGGAGGGCGGACAGCGTTTGTCAGCAGCACACAGAGGAGCGAGGCTGACGGCCTCTGGCAGGCCAGTGTGTGCAGGACCAGACACCAGCACTGTTGCCTCCGAGTGCAGAACCCCTCCCGCTTCCTGGGCGTGGGCCTGTCAGCATCTGCACGGGCCCAGGAAGCAGACCCTGAGCTCATCTTACTCTGAGACCGCCTGGGGTCACCGGGTAGCACACAGGGCCCTAACTGCCACCTCCCACTCCCGGGCTCAGCGCTCACGGGCTGGCCGGCACCACTGCTGAACAGCGGGGTGTCGGGGTCTCGCCAGCCTACCAGGAACAGGACACTCCTCCAGTCCAAAACAGAGCCCACACCTATGGAAAGCATGCCCCACACGATCCCCAGATGCAGGGCCGCAAACTGGCCCACTCTCCTCAAGTGATCCGCAAACGTACGTTTCAAGACTCAACCTCCCAGAAACAGAGCCCTGCAGGAAGCCAACGTCCAGGCGGGGTCTCACCCGCGTCTGCCCGCAGCCTCTGGTCCCAGTCTGACTCCCACAGAGCCGGCGAGCAGCTGGCACTGGGCACAGCCTATGTTGGGCCATGCACTGCTCTACTCACAGTGAGAGTCGACATGTACGTGTCCAGCAGCTCAGAGACCACATTTGGAGAAAGCAGAGGTTGCAGGGCGCCGACATCCACCTCCGGGGCCAGGTCCGCGTTCCCCATCATCTCTGTGCTATGGAAGAACCAGCAGTGAGAAAGGGTAATGACTACAGTCAGACAGGGGAGCCCCGAGGCGCCATGGCCCACGCGGGGAGGACCCGTGAGGGCGAGACGTGTGTGTTCTACACTCGGAGCTGACCAGGGGCAGGAGGGTGCAGGCAGATGCACTCTGCAGAGCCGGAGAGTCATGTCCAGAGCAGAGAACACACAACATCCACAATGAGGACAAGTCAGCAAGGGAGTGTCCTGTGCCCAGATGACCGTGCTCGATGACAATGAAAAGAAGGCATGGGTGTGGGCGAACTCTCAGGAAAAAGTGTTCCTCAAGACAGTTAATACCTATGCATGTGGTTGGGTTCTTCAAAGCCCAAGGTTCGACTGCTCAGAAAACTCCTCTGCCTTACGCTGCATTCCGCAAGCATGGACTTAAATGACACTAGTCCACTATCCATAAGGAACCCAAGGTCTGGCCGACTGAAAAAGCACTTCATAAAATTCTGCAAATGTGAAAACTATCGACTTAACCGAGATTATTAACCCAAGAACCTGAACTCAGTGTGAAAGCGTCTGTAGCATGAAGCAGGTCAGCTTTTCCAGAACATGCACTGGGCTGGGCGGGTGACCAACAGGAAGCTGTTCAGAGCCCCAAGGACCAGACCGTGCTTCCAGTGTGTTGAGAAGAACAAAACCAACCCACGAAACTGGGCATGTCACACAGACGCACGCCCCAGGTCAGGTGGCTGGAGCACGGGCCCAGAGCCCAGATTCGAATCCTGCTCCCACTCGTGGGTGGTGTGAACTGGGCACACAGCTCCCTGTGCCTCGGTTTCCCCACATACAAAACGAAGATGAGTGTAACAGTGCTTCCACACGGGTGACAGGTGTAGGTCATGGCTGCAGGGAGGGGACCACCAGCTGGGACTCCCGGGCTCTGCGAGGGCAGCATATGGGGTGCTCTGACAGCCCCAGCCACGATAAGCGTCATTAAGGAGGTATTTTCTCCATATTTCTGTGTTAAAAGTTACACCTTCTCTGCTGCAGTTACGAAACAATAAACAAGACACAAACAAATCCTGAAACCTCACTGCCACTCTAAGAGGTTTAATTACTTTCTATACTCTCGAAACAGGACAGGCTAAAAAAATTCCAGTGCAGCACTCAATACTGGTTTCTATTCCTAAAACGTGCTTTCCTCTCTGCTAGCTAATCTTAAAGAATTTCAAGGTACACCCCCCCCCACCCCCGCCATTGCCTTGTTTTTCAAACCCTACCCCAAACTGAAGTGCAAATGAAATGGCTCACATCCCTTTTGTGAAGCAAAAAAGCCCCAAGGATGAAATGTGAAAAAGGATGTGTTTTCTCTAGCAAACCAGTGAGAAGAAACCAAACCCGGGGAAGGAGTGCGCTGGCGTCCCAGCAGACAGGGGACTCTGTGGGACCTCTGGGCCCTGTGTCCTCACCTGCTCACAGCATCCCCACCGGGACACAGGGAACACTCAGGACCCAGCAAAGCCCGCCATGGACTGCCGGACACGGGCCCGACGTCAGGGGCCGGGTGACACAGGCAGAAGTGCCACCCGACATGAGCACTCACACAGCCAGAGGCTGAGCCCTGACCTCCAGGATGGGCCCCCATAGGTGGCCCAGAAAATAAAGCCTGTGGTGCTAAGCCGCTGCCCGAGCAAAGCCACTGCAGCCATCTGCGTCAGTGTCTACAAAAGAGGAAACACGAGACAAAACGCAGCTACCTGGTGTAGGTGTTTAAAACCCACGTCAGCAGGCTCACGATCTCGTTTGCTTCCAGATCTTCCGACGCGAGCTCCTGCATCCGTGTGCTCAGGGCCTGGTGGTACATGCCTAGGAGTCTCCTGAAGATGTCGTACTGGGGCGGGAAGCACTGAACCATCAGCGTTTTGGCGACAATGAGGTCGTCCAGGACGTACTTCCTGATGATTTCCAGGTGGCGGACGAGCCACATCTTGTCTGACTCCCTGGTGTCTGCCTGCGTGCCCTCGATCCTGGTAGTCACGGTCCTGTCCAGGATGGCGAACATCTTCTCCTTCCAATTCTTGGGCCTCCCGGGAGGGACAAAGCCAGTTTGCTTTTTTCGGTCGAGTATGCGCCTGTCAATCTTTTCTTCCCTCTCGATGATCCTGACAACTGACACCAGCAAGGTAGGGTCACGGCGGACGGTGACCAGTGACCTCTGCAGCACCATCCACAGCTGCTTGGCCAGCTCATCGGACAGTCCCTGCGTGCTCCCGAAGTAACCGTGGATGAGGGTCATGTCGCGAGTGTTCCCACTGTCCGTGCGATACTGCTCGTACATCAGCCCGTCCCGGGAGCACTCCAGGTCCATCAGCTTCCGGTGGGCTTCCAAGAGCGCCCCCTGCTCAATGAGGTCCTGGGTCTCCCGCACAATCTCGGGCACTAGGGAAAGGCACAAGATGGCGCTGTGAACCCCACCCAGGGCCGTGCAGGATGCTGGGGAGACGGTGGGGCAGGGGGCACCCAGCCACCCCCAACTCCACGGTCTACCGAAGCCACCTGTCCCCCAGCCCCTGCCACGTGATCCCGGAGCAGCTTGCACAGTTTGTGGGTGCCAGGGGGAGCAAAAAGGATTATGCCCTCTAAATCCTGGGCGTCTGTCGAGAGGTGCAGGCACAGAGGTGGCCGCACGCCCCCACTGCTGCAAGGCTCTCCCCATCCGGGGCGGTTCCAGGACCAGTGCCTTTTTACCTCCTTCAATTTCTCTTTTTCCCTTTTGGAAGCCAGATGTTTAAAGACTAGGACATTCAAAAGCAATTTCACATACAGGGGAATTGAGAAAGTGACTGCACAGCCCCAGGCAAAGGCACAGGCTCAGAAAAAAACTGAAAAGACCTTAGGTTTAGGCTTCAGGCTGATCGTAGGCATACAGAGCCTATAGCACTCTAAACAAACTAACCAATTGAGGAATAAAAATACCTGGGGAAGAAGAGAGTCTGATTTCTGATTATCTCTCTATTAGATTCAAATGTCCATTGTTCAATAAAAAGAATCACAAGGCATACAATAGCATAAGTCAGAAAGGAGGTTCCAAGGAAAAAATAAACCAACAGAAGCTGTCCTCGACAAAGACTAGATGACGGATCTACTAAACAATGACTTTAAAATAAGCCTGCATATGCATATGCTCAAAGAACTAAAGGAAGGCATTGAGAAAGTCAAGAAAACAACACACAAACCACATGGAAATACAAGTATAAATGAAAAAACAGGAAATCTAAAAAGAAACCACCCCCAAAAATTCAGGAGCTTAAAAAGTACAATAACTGAAATAAAAAGTTTACTTCAGGGATTCAAGACCTATTAGAGCCCACAGAAAAAGAGAACCAGCAAACTGGGAGACAGCACAACGGAAAAGGACTAAAGAAGAGGGAAAGGCGCCTATGGGGCCTCTAGGACACCAAACCGACCAACATGCACACTGTGGGGATCCCAGAGGAAAAGAGAGAAAGGGGAGAGACACTACCTGAGTAATGGAGGAAGTTTAACAACTTCGATGAAAGACATGAATATAAACATCCAAAAGCTCAACAAACTCCAAGCAGGAAAAGCTCAGAGACCCACAGTGAGACACACAATCAAACTGCTGAAAGCCAAAGACAGCAAGAGAATCTTGTAAGCAGCAAGAGAGAAGCAACTTGTCACACACAAAGGCTCCTCAGTAAGATTCCCAGCAGACGTCTCATCAGAAACTCTGGAGGGTAGAGGAGAGTGGGCTGGTATATTTTAAGTGCTAAAAAAAAAAAAAGACTGTCACCCAAGAATCCTATACCTGGCACAACTGTCCTTCAGAAGTGAAGGAGAAATTAAGACAGTCCAAGATAAACAAGAGCCGAGGGAGCTTGTGACCACTGGCCGTGCCCTGAAAGGGAGTCCTGTGGGTGAAACGAAAGCACTCGACACTCTCAAAGCTGTATGGAGAACCAAAGGTACACACGTGGGTAACTGTAAAAGCTAGTGTTGTTGTAACTTTGGTTTGTGACTCTACTTTTTACTGTACATAATTTAAGAGACATATAATGTATTTAGAGAAAAAAATGATTAGTCCAAAGCTAGTACTGTGGTTTATAATTCCACATTTTGTTTTCTACACAATTTGTGAGACTAAGATATTAAAAAAGTTTGTCTTATGCCTTTGGACACACAATGTATAAAGATGTAATTCTGTAACATCAACAACTGAAAGCTGGTGGGGACAGAGTTGTTGAGGAACAACAGTGTTTTTGTATGTTATTGAAATTAAGCTGGCATAAATTCAAATTAGTGTGTTAAATGTTATCCCCGTAGGAACCACAAAGAAAACAGCTATAGAATACACACAAAAGGAAATGAGAAAGGAATTAAAATGTTTCAGTACAAAAAAAATCAATCAAACACAAATGAGAATAATGCAGAAAATGGACAAAAAAGCTGTAAGGCATATAGAAAGCAAATGGGAAAATCACAGAATTAAGTCCCTCCTTATTAGTAATTACTTTGAACGTTAGTGGATTAAACTCTCCTATAAAACGCCAGATTGGCAGGATTTAAAAAATCATTTAATCCAACTATATGCTATCCACAAGAGACTCCCTTGAGATCCAAAGACACAAACAGATTGAAAGTGAAAGGATGAAAAGATAGTCCATAAAAATTAGTAATCAAAATAGAGCAGGGATGGCTATAATATCAGAGAAATTAGGGCTGAAATTAAAAAATTACAAGAGACAAAGAAGAAGTATATACAGAGGGTGCCAAAAAAAAGTATACACATTTTAAGGAAGGAAATAAACTATTAAAATTGTAATACTCAACATATACTGATAATAAAAGATGAATACAAGTCCTGTGTATACATTTTTTGGCACCCTCAGTATTAACCAATGGTTCAATCCAGCAAGACATACAACAGCTGTTAACATATACACACTTAAAGACAGATCATCAAAATATATGAAGCAAAAACTGACAGAACTGAAGGAAGAAACGGGCAGTTGTACAACAACAGCTGGAGTTTTCTAAACCCCGCTCACAATAGCTAGAACAACCAGGCAGCAGGTAAGGAAGCAGAGGATTTAAAAACACAAGAAAGCCATGAGATCTGACATACACAGAACACTCTACCCAACAGCTGCACACACGCTCTTCTCAAGTGTACATTTTCCAGACACACCACAGGTTAGGCCACAAATTAAGTCTCGATAGATTTAAGAGATACGTATCATACCAAGTATCCTCTCTGACCACAATGGATCAAGTCAGAAATCTTAACTGATGAAAATTCACAAATTTGTGGAAATTAAACCATACGCTCATAATCAATGTGTCAAAGAAAAAAAAATCACAAGGGAAATTAGAAAATACTTAGAGACAAATGAAAATGAAAACACAAAACACCAGAACTAAGGGGATGCAAGGGAAGTTGTGGTAAAGGAGAAGTGGACAGCTATCAACACATTAAAAAGCAGAAAGACGTTAAATCAACAAGGAACTCAGAAAAACAAGCCAAACCCAAAACTACCAGGAGGAAACTGTAATGATTAGAACAGAAAGAAACAAAACAGAGAACAGAAAAATGATAGAGAAAATCAACACAACCAAAAAGTACTTCTTTGAAAGACCAACAACTCACAAACCTTTAGCTGGATGGGCAAAGAAAAAGAAAGAACGCAGACTCAAATAGTATAACGAGCAATGCAAGTGGGGATATTACTACCAATTCTAAGACATAAAAAGGGTAAGAGAATACCATGACCAATTCTGTGCCAACATACTGGATAACCCGGATGAAGTGGCAACTTCCTGGACACGCACAACCTACGGAGACTAAATCCCCAAGAAACAGAAAGTCTAAGTAGACCTCTAACTAGTACTAGGTTGGCAGGAGGGGCAATGGGGGGGCTCTCATTTAATGGGCGCAGAGTTCCAGGGCCTTGTCCCCCAGTTTTGAGGTACAGCGGACATACAGCACTGTACAGAGGTTCAGTTGTGTGAGATGCAGAGTTCTGGAGAGGGGGGTGGTGACGGCTGCACACCAATGTGAAAGTACCTCATACCACAGAACACATACTTGGTCAAGGTGCTAAATTTTACAGTGTGTGGATTTGATATTGAGAGTGTGTGGGGGGAGGGTGTGTGCACGGCACCACTGAACACAGGCAATGAGAAAAGTCTAAGGGAGCAAACACACACGGCATCCTCCCAGGGAAAGCCTGCTCCTAGCAAGACGGAGGCATTTGTTCACCAAGGGAACAAGATTATATTCAACTCTGTAATGAACCGCTTCTGGGAAAGGGACTTCTAGGTCACCTGGCATTAGTGTTACAGGCGGGAGGAAATGCAGCCAGTCAACTGGAAGTGTAAGAGGGAAACTAACTGGGGAGGCACTAGCTGGGCTTCATGAAGCGGAGTCTGGCGTGGGGACTTGGTTCCAATTCCAGGCAGTCAACAGTCACCAAGGGGAGCTGCTGACTAGACCCCAACCTCCCGCCCCCCGCCCTGGCACTGGCAGTGCTGCACCACTCCTGGGGGCACACGTGGAACAAAGGGGCCAGGTGCTCGACAGTGGTGCCACCAGACCCAGGCGTGAGGAGTCAGTGTGAGGAGTCCAGGGGATGGGGGCGGAACAGGACACAGGTCCCCACGGCATGGCCTGGCAGGAGCAAGGCCGTCACAGCAGTGGGCAGATGGGAGGAACTGCGCAAGGCTACACTCAGCGCTCAAGCAGTTTGGGGAAAGGCAGAGCGAACTCACTGAGAGCAGACATGGGATGAAGGAAGGGAAGGGGCCAGATCATCCAAGGCCTCTTGCTGGGATGTTGGTGACCGTGACAGGCACGGGGACAAGGGGAGAGATGGGCTCCGGGGGGCGGACGAAGAGCTCCTGTCACAGCCCCCGCGAGCAAGCTGTGCTGAACACACCTGGGAGTCCCACCC